CATTTCTATTTAGGTTTTATTTATTTTATTTCAATTTTATTAATTTAAGTATTTAGTAAATCGTAGTACTTAGTTAATTTCAGTTTATATGGATACATGTATTACTCTACATATATTTGATATCTTTTAATGTATTTCATTCAAATATTTCATCACTGAATGTTCAGTGTAAACAGTATTAACAGTAAACAGAATAAACAGTATTCAGTAACTGATGGAGTTTATTCGGTGAAGGATCCATCAGACTAATTTAAACAGTACATCTTTAGAGTATGTCAGTCAATCAGACTTAACAGTTTGTCCTGTTGGCTACATTGCGTGCAGCTCCTTAGGACAAGATGTATTTTCTTGCTATTATTTCTTGATATACAACCTTTTTGTCTTATCACATTAGATTTGAACTGCGGACTTCTTTTGCCATGGTGCTGTAGATTCAGCAGCATGAAATAACTTTATCCCAGGGTAAAATATGAACCCTGTATCCATGTGAACCTATATATGCTAAACAATTTCTATTTAGGTTTTATTTATTTTATTTCAATTTTATTAATTTAAGTATTTAGTAAATCGTAGTACTTAGTTAATTTCAGTTTATATGGATACATGTATTACTCTACATATATTTGATATCTTTTAATGTATTTCATTCAAATATTTCATCACTGAATATTCAGTGTAAACAGTATTAACAGTAAACAGAATAAACAGTATTCAGTAACTGATGGAGTTTATTTGGTGAAGGATCCATCAGACTAATTTAAACAGTACATCTTCAGAGTATGTCAGTCAATCAGACTTAACAGTTTGTCCTGTTGGCTACATTGCGTGCAGCTCCTTAGGACAAGATGTATTTTCTTGCTATTATTTCTTGATATACAACCTTTTTGTCTTATCACATTAGATTTGAACTGCGGACTTCTTTTGCCATGGTGCTGTAGATTCAGCAGCATGAAATAACTTTATCCCAGGGTAAAATATGAACCCTGTATCCATGTGAACCTATATATGCTAAACTATAAAGCTACTGAGCCACTGCTTCCATTATTACCGCTTCCAGGTTCTTTGTTTATAAAAAGGTTAAAAAAAAAATAGTTCTGTTTTCTGTTCCTCACTTCAAGATAAACTAGTTTTGCAGTTGGAGTCTAAATGATGAATAATGAGAGTGGAATTCATAACTTCAAAACTAATTTTCCTGTGAGTGTTCAAATAGATTTAAGCAAAACCCTGCTTCCAGGTTCTTTGTTTATAAAAAGGTATATAAAAAAAATTGTTCTGTTTTCTGTTCCTCACTTCAAGATAAACTAGTTTTGCAGTTGGAGTCTAAATGATGAAGAATGAGAGTGGAATTCATAACTTCAAAACTAATTTTCCTGTGAGTGTTCAAATAGATTTAAGCAAAACCCTGCTCAGCTTCACTACAGTGTGCTGCTGTCATATCCATCAAATCTGTCGACAGGTTGATATGGTAAAAGACTCGGGTCTCGACAGCTTCTCTGTGGTGAGATCGCCCGTGAGGTTTCCTCTCTGACAGATGGACCGTTCATTGACCTCCACTGTCTGTTTCTGCCAAAGACAGCGTGGCCCAAATGTCACCTGTCCATTCATAATTCATACAACCCAAATAAACAATCATCACATTTTAACTTAAATTGGATGGGCTTTTGTCACAAAGTAAGTAGTATTTTCAGAGTGTTCTTGTCATGATAATTGATGGGTGACAATTTGTTTTCCAAAAATAAGAACTTATTTGAGAACTACTGTCATATGTATATTGTCATCTCATGTCCAACAGACAGTCACATGACGAGCAACACATTTTGAGGTGTCAGGTTTGAATATGTGCAAATGAAAATGTAAATATCAGCTTGTTAACACAAAGCATAAGTTCAAAAGATGTGGAAAGTATTTTTTCATTATTTTTAGAGGTCAGCAGCTCCAGTCCCCATTCACTTCTATTGAACAGAAAAAAACATGGACATTCTGCTAAACATCTCCTGTTGTGTTCCACACATGAAAGTCAAAGTTTGGAACCACATGAGGGTGAGTAAATCAGTGAACTTTTAAAAATGTAATCAAAAATGAACAACTAATACATATTTCAGCCACTGAAGCACGGTTGTGGGTTT